TCAAAATCAAGAATCTATTCGTAGATCATTCTAGAATGCGATTTCCTAATTTGGTATATTCCCAGACTGCAATATATTTAATGAAACTTGGCACGTGATTTCTAGCCAATTAGACCGAGAGATCAGGTGTAACGTAAAATCAAAACAATCGTGATTTTCACGTTACAACTGATCCTTCTATCTAATTGGCTAAAAATCACGTACCGAAAAAACTTACATTATATTGTACGTTATTAACGATCACTGCCCGAGACGAAAAAAATCTTTTTATTACTTAATAATTTCAGCTGGAAAGCATGAACTTGCAAATTACAGAAAACGGTTCTGCAATGTGATTTTTTTTTTTTTTACAATAACCCTTGTCTTTTGAAGTCGTCATAAGTTCTTTTATTGAAAACATTTCCTTCAAATTCCTTCATCATAATGGGTTTGAATTCGCCTGTTTTACCAATACTTTTTAATTTTCCCATACCAAGAAATAAATTAAAACATTTATTGAGAAATCTTGAAAATACTCAATAGCTAGCAATAAAAGAGCAAATACTTTTAATACTTACAGGCATATGCGTCTTTTATCAATGTGATTTCAGCGTATTTTGTATACCCAAACATCCCATACTACTATAGATGGGTGCCTAAATTATTTTTGCATTGGCGTAAATTTAAATGGCTAAATTCTTTTAGATTGTCTAAATCGTAAATAATTTAGGTTGTCTAAAATAATTCAGACTGTCGAAATATTTTAGGGTGTCTAAAATATTTTAATATGTCTAAAATATTTTAGTATGTCTAAAATATTTTCGTTATTCCAAAATGCTTGAATAAAGAAAATCAAATATTTTAAAATTTAATAATAATACTGAACCCGATATCTAATATATTAACATTGTCGAAGAAAATTTCTTTGGTTGTTTTCTTTAATATCATCTAAGTTAGAAAGCTGCTTCACCTTTTTGAAAAAGCTCTCTAAATATGTCCTCTAAATATGTAGCTTTGATCAATTTAAGTTGTAAATTTTGTGCAAGATTATAAAAAAACGAACTTAATATATTCTCCGTAAATAGTCGTAGAATCGAAAGATTTCAAATATAAGACATATAACGAAATTTACCGTCTTTTTCTCCATTTGATTTTGTTTGATTGATAAATTCTAGCTCTAAAGGTTCAACTGTTTCATTACGACGATGGTATTCTTTTATTGCTTTTAGACGACCATAGAATTCGCTAAATTCTAAAATTCCAAACAAGGCACTTTACGAGCCCTAATCGAACATTTATATTTGAAATGTTGGAGACGATTAAGAAATATTTGGTTTCTGGTCCCCGTCTGAATTAATATATTGTTTTCTGGCTCCCGTTTGAATTAATATAAAGTTTATATAAAAATTTGAACCGATCCTATCAAGAAAATCGCTATTTCGATGTTCACGGGCTAATTTTTCTTTGTGCTACAGGTACAAAATAAATTTATTAACTTCCAAGAACCATAAAACAGTAATCTGTTCTTAACTCACAGATTTCGGGTCGTTCATAAATTGATGACAGCCTGCTCTAACCTCATCTTTTCGTTGCTGTTCCAGAGTTCAGGGCACAGTGGGCATTGGCATGCCTTATGGCCAAAAGGCATGCCCGTATCCCCAACCTGACCCTAACCTATTGAAACCTTACAGTATAGAAGAAACTATATAGTATTTTTTAATTTCTAATATGTGATTATAAGACTTATATATTGAAAATTGAAAATTTAAACTACCCTAATGTCACTTTCATGTGACGATCTACATCTGTACCCTGGGCCTAGGGTGTCCAGGATTATGCGATGCGATGAGGTAAATTATGCGGGCGAACTGAGGTTGATTATGCGATGGATGCGAA